ATACAGATATTGAACAAAATCCTCGGCCCTCCCCTCCAGGGGATCCTCCCCCCCCTCAACTGAAGGAGAGAGCGGGTCACCCTGAAGAGGGTGGCCGGGCGATTATCTGATGACGCAATGAGGGTGGAGTAGTAGTTAGACCTCGCCACCCTCATCGCCACTAGGTAGGATCTAACCTGTATCCTTGCCTGTGCTCGATTGGATTCGCTTCGGCTCGCTCTCCAACTGCTCTCTAGGCGTCTTTTCCGGCGCTTCATCTCTCTCAGCTCCTCGGTAAACCAGGGAGCCAGTTGAGATCTGCACCGGGTCAGAGGCCGCAAAGGCACGACTCAGTCCAATGCTGCGGCAGCGGCCACTTCCCAGGCCGCCGCCAAATTTTCAACCGAATCGTGAACTAGGTCCTCAGGATATGGCCCAAGCTCCGTCAGGAACCTCTCTGGGTCCATCAGGCGCCTGAGGCGGAACCATCTAGGCGTTTCCTCCTCCCTGCGGTGAGGGGGAGCGGTCCGGAAGTCCATCCTAAGGAGTGAGTGATCTGACCATGACAGGGGCTCTACAACTACCTCCCCCATTTCCAGATCATTCTGCCACTGGCCAGAGACAAAAATTAGATCTAGTGTGTGTCCTCCTGTGTGAGTCGGGGCATGAACTAATTGGGTCAAGTCCAAGGCCGTCATGGAGGCCAGGAACTCCCGAGCCGCTGCCGACGTTTCACCCGCCGATGGCAGATTGAAATCCCCCATGACTATAAGTCTGGGGGTCTCAACTGCCACCCCGGCTATTACGTCGGCCAACTCGGGCAGGGCCGTTGATACATAGCAGGGAGCCAAGTATATAATCAACAGGCCCACTTGAACCCCCTGCCCCCACTTCACAAGGAGGGACTCTCCACCGTCTATCTGAGGCACAGTGGTCTCCCTCGGACATAGGTTCTCCCTTATAATGACCGCTACCCCACCGCCCCTACCCCGGGTCCTTGGCTGATGGAATGCCTGGAAACCCGGCGGGCAAATGTCAACGAGGGGCACT